GACCGCTATCTTTTCTTCATCTTCCTCTTCTATTTCTTCCACTTCATGGCTTTTTTCACTTTTTTCACAAGCGGAAAAGTAAAAGAGAACATTTTTGTAACAACAACAACAACAAGGGCGTTCAAAAAATGATGTTTAACCATTTTTTTGAACAAAGCACAAATCAAAATTACAAAATGTTAGAGAAGTGTATTTGATTGCTACAATTCCTGTTTTTATAAGAACCCGGAAGTAAAACTTAACCCTTAATTAAGTTAAACAATTTTTCAGTTCTTTTAATAACAATAACAATAATAATAACAATAATGATAATGATAATAATACTGGAGTAAAGCTTTTTCAATGCAAGCAAATAAAACGCATCACAAATATCAACTGAAAAGAAGTTTTCAAAAGCATCCTGAAATTTTTTACCCCTTTGTATTTTACTAAACCATCAAATATGTCAATTTTGTGAAACCACGAGAAGAAAATGGAAATTCTTTAATATCAAATAATGAAACAATGAGCGGCGTTCAGAAATCAATGTTTTCTATTTTCTACAACTCACAATACAACATGTCTTCCGAGCAACCTAATATTTTTGTGAAAGCTTAAAATCGTCAAAAAAAAGGAAAAAAAGAGGCGAGATGACAATGTAGAATTTACGTTTCATTTTCATTCCTTTGAATTCAACTGCACAATTCACTTTCAAATCGATGTTATATATAAAAATATTTTAGAATTTTTCGATGAAAGAAAATCAAAAAGATCAATAATAATATATTAGTAATAATTTATTAGTAAATCAATAATTTAATAATTAGCTTTGCAAGAAGGTCAGAGACAGGGAAAACCTTGAAATTTTCATAAATTTATTTGAACTTTATACAATTCATAAGTTGCTATCCCTTCCTAGACTTGTTAGTCCTCTTCTCCATTTCTTTCAGATATGGAAACAATAAGCTAATATTTCGAACATCACATATTTATATTATTCCATAATATTTTGAAATAAATTAATTTAAATTTTTTCGTCTGTTAGTTTCGTGTTTCAGTCCACTGAAGATTTGCTGCAGTCTCATAGATTGACTTCCACTTCGGTACTTCAGAATTTCGTGACCTTAATTTCTTTTTTCCCACTTCATTCCTCCTCAGTTTTCATTTACAGAATTTAGATATCAGCAGGAATTTGGAATACATTATGTTAAAATGCACTAAATATTTTATAGCCAATTTTTTTTTAACAGGAATTTTTGCAGCATTTAAAATTAACTGAATGGTTTTAATAACAGATTGTACCTTCAATAATACAACCTTATGTGTCCGTTTACTATTTAGCCGCATATTTTATCTTCAAAGTTTTAGGAAAATTTTCACAGGAAGTTTTCTCATTCGTTCAACATCTATTGCATTGCATTTTGCGAAAAGCATTAGATTCGGTCCTTTTCATTCACCATCATTCTTTTTTGTGGCGGGGATCGGAAAAAGTGCGATATTCAAGGTGCAATCCTTTAATTTCAATCTTAAAGTGATCTGTTAGGAAGCATTAAAAAGAATTTCGCACGTTTCTTCTAATGGAAAAAGAAGTCCGGAAAGGCTCAACTTTTGCTTTTCGCCATGCCCATAATTAAAGATAGATCGATCATTCATCGAATCCAACTAGAGATTGATTAAATTAAATCATTTTCCATATGTTATTGCAGCAACATAAACAACACTTATCAATTATAAAATCCTCCTCGCAAATATTTTGAAAATTTCGATACTCATAATAGTATGATGACCAAATGTGTTTTAAACAATCAGAAAAAAAAATTTGAATAAGAACAATTATGAGTGCATAAACTTCCTACAAGATCTCTGCTCGATCTGATCAACAACTTTCGTCATTTTTCATTTTTCCCACAACTCTTTTGCTTCTCATAAGTAGGCATTGATCAAGTGCATTCTTGATTCATTTCAACTTTGTTGTGTATTATTTATAAATTAATATAATACGTTTATGATGGATATAACGGATTGCAAGACAACACATAATACATGCATGCATGTGTATTATGTGTTTGTTTCTTAGCATACATGTTTGTATACGTAACTAATGGTTGATTAAACTTGACTTTTGCTATTACACAAGAAGAGCTCTGAGAGGTTGTTGATTAATCTTAACTATTCAAAATCAATTCAATCTGTTTATTCGTCCGCCAGACTCTAATTTGATTTAATTCCTACCATTGAAGTTTATTATTCTATTCCCGCTATTTCAAAATTTATCAAATATTTCTGCTTTCTCTTTCTATTCGTTAATTTGGATTTTTAGTTTAAATTTAACAAAAATTGAAATAGTCATTCTTCCTGGAATTCAATTAATTGGCGGTGTAAAATTGCAATTATAATTAGTTGTTTAATTTATGAAACAACCATTATCATTTTTTTCTGCATTGAATTCATTAAATTACTCCGTTGTCGTTAATTTTAATTTATGTTTAATTTTTATATTATTGTTAATCGTTTGATCAAAAAAATGATTTAAACATGAAAAAAAATTGGAGAGAAAGAATGTTTGCTAATCTGGAAACATTCAAGTCTCTGCTGGTCTCCAGTAGTCTTAAAAATATTTTTATTCCATAAGAGCTTTCATAATCACCTCGAGTAAGGAAGACATTAAGGATGAAACCACTGCTTTTTCATGTTTTCATTTGAAAATTTCGAAGTGAAGCGATTATTTGTTCCGAGAGGAAAAGAGCTGATTTCTTCTGGTCCTGAAAATAGATGTGGATAAAATGGAAAGATCAGCATTTTGTTAACATTAAGCAGCTGCTCGTGAAAAATGATGACTTATAGTTGATGAGATTTTTATGACCAACCATTTCATCCATCTCTTTCGCATCTTTTTCTCTAAAACGATCCTGAAATATAATTTTCTTTGTATACAGAATTTTTCCTGTCTCATCCAAGTTTTAATGTCCACTTTAATTATTAATTACTCACACGATAATGATTATTTAATTATTCATGTTGCTAAATACTGGAAGATTAATGAATTAGTTTAATCAAAAGTTGCTAACGTTAAAATTTCATTTAAGTAATTTCATGAAAGTTTAAATAAGATTAATTATTGCTTCAGATATCTTCAAATGTAAGAAATACTAATCAAATCATTATATGACAAAAAAAATTTTTATTGTCTAAAATTTTTGGCATTTAATTTTTCACATTTTTTATTTAAAACTTTGTTTAAATTGATTCCATTTATTCAAAGCTTTTATTTAATAAAATCATTGTTTGCATAATATTTAACGAGGTTGCAATTTATGTAAAAATTTTAAGGACTAAGCAACTGAAGTGGAGATTTAATGTGGAAATGATTGGAAAATGATAAAGCTGACGAGGAAAGGCATGCCATCCGGCAGGATGCATAATAGACACTTCCCGGAAGGAAGCTTAACTATAACCACCACCGCTCACATCTCAACAAATGATTTGCAAATTTCATTGGGTTACGAAATGGATGATCAATAAAAAAATATTATTGGAACAATTAATGCCTAATATCCAATGCACATAAAATGCGTATGTATTGCAAGGATTTGTATTATATATAATTCTTTACCTATTCTTAACATAATATTGCACGTGCGATTAATCATTTGTTTTTGTTTTGCTATAATTTATGTTTAATTTTTGATCTTAGCATAGTTAATGTTAAATCATTCGGTTTCATTTTTCCACAATTTTCATATTTCATTTATAATCAGCTTATTTTGTTTTGTCATTAGCCCTTTTCAAATATCATCCATATCGCGATTTGTTTTTTTCTTTTTCAGTTTAATCTTCGACTAAATAGGCGTATTATTTTTCTGTCCTGGTCCTTATTTTCATTATTTAACCAGCAATTCCTTACTCTTAGGCCGCTTTTCTTCATCTTCAACAGTCTGCTCAACTGCTGTAGTAAACGTTGCTGATCAATATTACTACAAAGATGTGATGATAGTGTGCAGACTAAGTTTCTTGTTTTTCAATCTACTTCCTTTATCACATTTTGCGTTAAATTAGTATTATCAAAACCACTCTTTCTTCATTAAAATGCAACATCTACCATTTTTCAATAAGATTCTTTTTCTACTGAGTAAGAAAAGCATTGAAGGTGAATGTCAAAAATGTTTACCGTCTTAGATTGTTTAAAAATTGATTTTAAGAAATTTAAATTTTCCAAAAAAATTTAAAAGTTCAGAAATTGAATTTTTATTTTCATTTTTCAAAAAATCTTTTATTTCTCATTTAGAAATCAATTTTAAAGACAACATTTTAAAGACAACTTTTGCAAATTTTTTCGACGCTTAAAATTTATTAAATTTTAAGAGGTTGGAATGCAACAAGCTTACTTGCTACGACTTCAATGTTTCACTTTAGTTGCCATTCACAGAATGAAAATAATACTTCTTGATACTATCTGCAACTTTAAAAATGTAATCGTATGAGTTTTCAAATTCATTAGCTAATTCATCTATCTCACAAAGAGTTATTTCTGAAAGGTATTATTTTACAGTGTTTTATTTTAATTTATTTATGAACTTAGCAAACCTTCGCATTTTTTGAAATTTAATTGAAATTTATATTAAAAAAATTATATATGCGTTCTCAAAGTTCCTTTATTGTCCCATTTTTTATTGATATATGAAAAAAATTTTTATGAATTTAGAATAGATTTTTTTCCTTGATTTGCCCAGTTAGCACATTCTTCTTCTCGGAATGTTTTCAAAAAGGGATTAATACTTCCGTTGCTTGGTGGTAAATTCTAATTTACAAAGCGATTCCATTTAAGACACCGATCGTTTAGCAGAATTACGCTAACATATGTATTCATATATTTATATTGAAATGAATTCTTCAACTTTTTGCAGAAGACGATAAGAAAGCCATACAGAGGTGAATCCTAAGTTGATTAATTCAACATAATTTTTCACTGCAAAAGGAAAGTAATGTAACTCGCAGCAATGAAGTGATGTTTGGGGCATTTGATGGAAAAGAGTTCGGACTGTATCACGTCGCAAGTAACTTTCAAGCGAGTAGCGTTGCTTTCATGTGGCTCATTTAGTCCGCCAACTTATATGCACCTCCGAATATTTGGTAAGCATTTTATTCTGTCGAAAAGTATCATTTAAACGTGTGGAAATATTGAATTCTGAAAATGATTTGGACTAGCAAATGGTTTAGACTAAAATTAAATATAATAAGGAACATAAATCTTTTGTAATATTACAAAAAAACGCAATTAGTGCAATTAGTAATTACATATTGATTGGCCTAAAGCTTTACTTGACTATTCTTATTTAAAATACCTTTTTTAAGATACATTATATTCAGCTGATTTTATTGAAAAATAATGAACATATTTGGTTGGCAAATAATTCATATAATTTTTAATAACACTCTTATTTGCAGTTTCCTTCAAAAATTAAATAATAATTTTTCCTTTTTTAGGAAGGAGTGGAAAAAAGCAAATTTTCTCATTTTATTATTTTATTGCACCCATAAATTGTTGGGAAATCTTTTTAGCATTTGTTAGAAACTTTTCAAAAAAAGTGCTACAGAGCGTGCACGCGACTACCTTAAGAAAATACATGGTTGGGAGGTCGTTGAAGGTATTATGAGTCCAGTAGCGGATAGTCTTGGTCGACCTGATATGGTACCTGCTAAACATAGACTGAAAATGGTAGAGTTGGCTGCCAAATCATCATCCTGGATCAGGTGTCTAACTTTCATTTATCAACTTAAAATATGATGCTTGAAATTGAATTTATAAAATTTTACATGCAAACTTTCAATTTATCTCTAGAATAAAATGAGAATGTGCGAAATTTGATTTCAAAACGATTCCACGACTTATGAAAGATTTTTGAACTTTCATTATAGAGCAGATGGATGGGAATGTTCACAGGGTGAATGGATAAGGACAATTCATGTCTTGCATCATTTGAAGGAAGCACTTAATCGTAAATATAAAAGTGAAAATTCCGAAGTGCAATTACTACTGCTCTGTGGCGGTGATGTTATCGAAAGCATTACAAAATTGGCCGTTTCCGACGTTATGTTATGGAGTACTGAGCAGGTTTACCTGTTTCCCATATTTTAATGCAAACGATGTTGCTGTAATATGAAACCGTACTATTTTTCTTTTAATAGAATAAGGTATTTTAAAATAAAAGGAAAAAAAGCAATATGTTTAAAACATAATAATACATTAAATTGCTGAATTTTCCTCTGTTTTCTTTTTTCTGAGTACTAAACGAGCAATAAATTTAAAATAAGTTGGATTTTAATGAGCTTAAATTGTTTAAAATTCAGATCGAAGAACTTGTCCGAGATTTTGGTATGGTTGTAGTGATGCGAGCAAACACTGATCCTGTTAGTGCCATTTATCTTGCCGATGTACTCCATACACATCAGGTATTTACGTTTTAAAAAGAATTTATCAGCAATTAGATTCATTCAGCAGATGGAAAAATTCTAATGAAAAATTATTTTTCAGAAGAATATATTTGTGATTGAAGATGAAACTTGTCCAAATGATATCAGTTCGACACGTTTAAGGTGTGCAATTTTTTCTGCTAATACTAATAAGCTAACATTTTGATTTTCAAAAAAACTTATATAAAAGAAAGTTCCATAAGTTTTATGGAACTTTCTTTTCACCACTATTCTAATTCGTTTAATTTGCTAAATTAATTTAGGTATAACTACTAAGTTATTTTGAGCACAAATATTTAACCGCTTTAGTGCTTAAAAAAATTAGATTTAAAAGTTATGAAGTTAATTTCAGAACAGCAATACGGAGGAAAGAATCGATACGATACTGTACAAGTGATGAAGTTATTCAATACATTGAAGAGAATTCTCTTTACGGAGCCACATCACTACCGGCTATGTAAAATTTAAATCTGAAATGAAATATGGAAAAGAATAATGAATCAAATATTTTAGATGTATGGAACTGAATATTAGACTCATTTTTTTAGGTGGGATGAATAACAAGAGTGATAATATTTGTTGTGTTCATCATCTTGCTAATACATTGAGAAACTAAGCTTCAAAATAAACTGAAAAACTTTTAGAACTTCTAAGAAGAAACTGAGAATGATTACTCAACAGTCAAATTGCGCTATTTACGAAGCAAAAATTAAACAGACTTTTTTTCGTTTCGTTTTTTCTTGCAAACTGAAAGCAATGACGCTTTCTTCATGACATCAATTTGGAAATAGTAAGAAGTTTAATGTCTTTGGAGATGATTAGTGGTTGATACATTCATTAGCAGGAAAATATTTTAGGGTATTCATGAGTCGCCGAATTAAAAAAATAGCACGACAATATAAACTGAGAAAATTAAACTGAACTACAGTCTATAAAGTAGCACTGACTGAAGTAAAAAAGTACGAAATGTCTAAAAATATGATATTGATCGATAATATAGCCGATATAGAGAGTTACTAAAGGCTGAAATAATAATACAGGAACATAGTAAATGAAGAAAAATGAATGCAAGTGAAGTCTGATGATTTCAAATGCAAAGAAAAAATCATAATTCTTTTTGCATTTTAGTTCATAGGAATAATTTCGAATAATTTCTTGTAGAAATAATCTATTAATTATTTCTTAGCTTTTGACTATTTAGAAATTGCAAAAAAATTTATTTTAGTGCAGGATTTCCAGTTCACACTTCTTTTTAATTTTTACGTTTTTGTGCGAAATCTTTTTTATGGTTATAATTTGCATAGTTTCAGGCGAATGAAACTTCAAAATATATGCAAATCAGCAAGTTCATCAAATATATCGGCAAGCAGTACCACCGCTTCTTTTGGAAATTGTTTAAAACATCCGAAACTTAGTCTTTTACCGCTAAAGCAGACAATTGAGACCACTAAAGGAAATAATCATAAAGCGCTTTGTGACCATTCTCCAGAGGTTGTTTATAAGTTATTTTTTAAGGTTTTGAATGGTTGGTTCAAGTTTCGCTTCATATTCAAGTTTGATTTGTATATAGTTTGATTTATATTTCTACATATTCAAGTTTGATTTATATGGATTTCATTCTTTTGATTGATATTGAGTTTCATAACCGACGTTGTAGTTTAAAACAGAAATGCTTTTTGAACATTCTGAAACTTACTTTAAAAACGAGAAGAAATGAAATGAAGTTTAACAAGCTGAATTGCTGAATTGCATCAAAATTTGTGTAATGATTTGGCCGCTTAAAGAAATTTATTATTGAAAATAATTTTTCATCCATTATTCTGATGTTTTTCTCAAATTTTAATTAATCTTTAAATCATTTCAAAGTTTTTGTTTCCAATTCTCAATTTTTACAGGATGAGAAGCAATCATTTGTCTTGGAGCCAAATCCAACTTGGTATCCCTCAGGTTCCCTGCCTCGATATTCATTATTAACTGAAAAATTTGTTAGCACCACTCATTCACTGTCACACTTACAAAAAACTGTGCCACTTTTAATACAAAATAAACAGTGTTCAGTTGAAACTAACAACGATATGATGGTATGTTTTATCATTTCTTTCTATCAGTTTGGATGGTATTATTCAGATGAGTGCTGAAGACTCTTGTAGCTTTTATGCTGCTTCAAGCTGTTCTAAATTTTTTACTTGGTCACTGCTATAGGTGCCAAAACAATCCAAGCACGCACATTTTCGATCATTGGAATCTCCAGATTATCGTAATTTAACCTTGAGTGAAATGCTAACTACAAGCAATGACCGGGCTGATTACCTTTGTGTCAAAAAAGGTTATGCTTTTAATTTCATAGAACTCTACTCAACCTATAATTTTATTCTTATTTTCTCTTGCATTATCCTGGAGTTTTATTGTCATAACATATTTTCCAAGTCCCAAATTACAAAATCACCATAAATTATAGTAAAACAGACTTTATCAAAAAATATTTGATTGTGGCAAGTATCGGTTCTTATATCTTTTCATCCTTATCCTCCCACGCATTTTTTGGATCTGTTTAAAATTGTATGCAAATGATACCATTGTCGTGATTCATTTGTATTTATTCCTGCACTCTTGTTGTTTTCCGGAGTAGCATCTTTTTCAGTTTCCTCACACCTACAAGCGAAAGGCTTTTCATGTATTTAATACTGCGAACTAAATGGCTTTTAAATTCTTACTAGAGAATTGTCTTGTTGTCTAGTGAGATTTTATTTCCTTCACCTCAGAAAAAAATTTAATTACTTCGTTGTCCAGTAACATTGAAATAATTACTTAATTCGTTCCACAGCCATTGAATCGAATTTCCAAATTTAATATCCGTTATGAACTTGATTTAAAAATTAATTCTCAGTAGATATGAATATAAAGTTTCCGCTAAAACTTTCAAATATAGTTTTCCAGTAAAAACTAAAATAGCAATCAAAATTATATTTTCAGACGAAGTGTTCGGGCGCACAGAAGAAACGAACACATTGATGGTATCGCAGATTGCCGATACGCGCGATAAGCAAGCTAATTTGCAAATGGAGACGCTAGCACCAGTGCAGGTAAAGAATTTGAAAACTTTATTCCTTGCATTCTTATATTAAATTTTCACACACTAAAAAAGATAACTTCAATGATACAAAAATTGCGGAAAGCACTCAAAATAAAATGGATTGATGCATTTTATATATTTTATACCACAAAACTCAACTTTTACACAGTTTTACCAGAGACTTCGGAAAATTTAAATTTTAAATGTCTGAAATAATTGAAGCAAGAAAACTATGAAATACAAAGTAAGCGACACTCGACAGGTGTCTCACGTAGTGTTGGAAACTTGACAACGGAACTTTCATTGGAAAAAGAAGATAAAAGTCGTTCCTTGTCTCATGTACGATCTGAAGAAGGGAATGAAGAGAGTAATAATGTGACATTTATTTATAGAAAGTACAAATTAGCTTCAACTCCTGAAACTACCGTATAATTTTCCTTTTTTTGATTATTGATGGAATAATTTTAATGTACTTCATTTCATTTCAAGACTTTAAAGAAAATCTAAAATCTTTCTTATTACAAAATCATAGTTCTAAATTTCCGACAGAAAAAGCTGAGTTTCAGAAGTGATAATTATAATTTTTGGTTATCAAAATATTTTAATGAATCTACCTAAAATGTCTTTCATGAATACACGATCTATAGAATTTTGTCACAGTAATGAGATAGTGTGAAATATCATATCTGTGCGAAACAAAATTTTCCCTGTTGAGTGACTCATTTCAAATTGTCAAGGAACAAGAATGCAGGATTGTTGTGAAACTCATACTGAATAAGTTTTATTGATTCCAATTGATTATTGTATGGATTATATAACTTCTAAACTCTTCATAAACAAAATTGACTCTATTTACTAATATTGCACCGTATTCTATATACATAATTACAGCATTACTGAAACTATTTGCAGATAGATACATGTCGTGTAAATTTCACGAAGGTGTCAGTTGATTAACTGATTCCTTCGTGAAATTAACTGAATTATTCAGAAGACACTTCCATCTATTGTAATTGAATTGCTATTTACTTACATTTGTCACGGCTACAACATAAACTACCTTCCCATCTTTCGATTATTCAGTTACCTGCAAAATTTTGGTTTGGTACTCAAAAAATTGTTAAATCAGAATAATGAACGGATTATATGAATGGAGCTAATTCCTTCAGATGATATTTTTTGATTGTTCATACATCAAAATGATGCTATGTAACAATGAAATTTCAAATTTCGGAAAGGAGATAAGCTAAATTGCAAGTAGATAATAGGGAACCGCAATGTTGATGTTTATCTTCATCATTCTTTTATACGGCTATGCGTAGTAGATGGACGACAATTTTTCGAAGTCTGTTTACTGCCTTAAAACATTTTTTCTCTTTTAACTGATAATGCTGTTGATGTACTCACAAGCGATTATGATAAGGGTGGTAAGTTGATATTCATTTCCACTACCTTGTATGGTGCTGGATTGGTTTTAGATTGGCAATTTTTCAAGAAAAGCCTGCTGTTTATACCCTGAAACATTTTTCCTCACTTTAAAACTTTCAAAATGATATTTTGAAAATTTTTTTCCTATGAATGAGATGCAATTTACAATAAAAAAAAATTCTGCGAAACATTTCATTAAAGAAATTAACATCACAATGTCATGGAATCAGAGATAGGAACAATAATACTTTGCCTAAGACTGAACGACCAAAAAACTTTTCTGTTCCCTCAATCTTTTGGCTTTAAATTTCTTGCTTGCTGATTTACCCAATCTTTTTTAACTTATCTTAATTGATTAATAATTATTTTCAATGCGTAACCAAACAATCCTGGTAAAAGCGAATGAACTACTAAATGCGAATTTTACACCCATTTGAAATTTTAGAAACAGGACTGTAGTGAGATGCCTTTGAGGAATCAAACATTCATGCCTTGTTGGTTCCCTATACAACGAATTGAGCATTTAACTAATTATTCATTTAAGTGCACCTTCAGATTAATATCTTATTAAATTTTAAAGAACGTAAAAATATTGTTCTTTTACTCTTTACCTTAAGCTGACAAATTGCTTTATCATCTCTCTTCTTCCTAAGGATAAAATATTAATTGTAGAAGAGAGCTTCAAGGTTCTATTGTTACCGATATAGATCATTTGAAAATTTTTACAAATGCTAACATGTAACAATGGTAATGATGATTTTGAATTTCTGACTGGTGGTGGTGAAGTTTCGTGCTGCAAAGTTTGCATACACCCCTGTGCATACAACAAAAACTTCTGCCTAGCCTGGAAATATATTTCCATTAATGTTGTAAAAGAGTCAATATTTTTCATTTGCTTCCTGGAATTGAGCGACAACTGTGTTTTCTAAACACCAGCAGGTGCATATATTACTTGAAAAGCTACCAAATAATTCTGTATATCAGATCATCATTCTAAATTTCAACTTTTGCATATTGAGAAAGGAGTTTTATCATTACCTTATAAATGCTACTGTATGTATTCCAATTATTAAATGATGGTGCAAACATCAAATTCGAGGAAACTTGATCGCTTAATCGTTTTACCAAACATAAACGTCCTTTCTTCAATATCCTGAAAATTATATATGTAAATTTGCATTCATTGATTTTCCTGTATGATAACTTAATTATGCTTCATATTCCTAATACGATATTATTGACGTTTATTGCGGTTTTTATACAGTTTTAAGAGTATTTAGTTTTTTTCGAATTCCGAGATATTTATGCATTTCTTCCAAGGTCAACCTCAATTTTTCATTGTTTTAGATGAAAGAAAATGCGATTCATATTTCAATGAACAAAAAACAGTTTTCTAGAAAAGAATCTCAGAATATTTTCACATTCAAAAGAATCGATTTAAAAGAAAGTGGAATGAAAGAATTAAAGTGTTAAAGAATTAAAGTGATAAGATTACATAGAAAACATGTATCGTTCATTTTTCCGAGCTAAACTCTCTGCAGTGTAACCCATTAAATTTTTGATACGAAATGCTTCAATACACCATCGCCTGGACAGTTCCTCTACCAGAAATGTTAACAAAGATGACTGGGAGTACATTGCCGCATACATTAATACTGTATTACCCATTTTATCAACTGCCATAAGATCCACATTTTGCTAAAAGAATGAACCTTAATTTCTCAGTATAACTCAGAGAACGCATGCCTGTTAGGAAAACATTGAAATGAGGTATGGAATAAATGAACAATGAAAGTTAATGCCGTAACATTTTTTCAAAAATGGATTCTTATGAAACACATTTTTCCAGCTGTCGATAGTAATTGAATGGCAGAAATTTTAATTCTGCATGAAATAATTCGAACTTCTTTTTTTGAAATAAAATTAAATCAAACAAACTAAAGTAACCAAACCAAAATCAAATGGTGTGCAACGGTATCGTTTCTCATTAGACAAGCTAACATGAGCGGTGTGCGTAATTGTCTTTCATCTGGTTCAGAAGGATCGCATCCAGAACGAATCAACAAGTTTATATAACGCACCTTTAAATTTGTCATTAACTCTATTTCTTGAACATTTAAATTTACTGCTAAACTAATTTCCTGCACATAAATTTTCCTTGAAGAATAAGACAAACCTGATTTGCCTTATTAAGTTCATATCTTATCACTGACATAATAAGAGTTTCACCACAAATATTCTTCTCTTTAACATTAAAATCCATAAAGCTTTTTTCCAATTTTTGTGGCAAATATTCATATTCCATTCGCTGGAAGGAATTCTTTTAATTACACTTTAATTACACATTTTAATTACTTTTAATTACACATTCATTCATTCACAATATAATGAAGTCATTTCATTATTTATTTTTCATAATCTACTTTTTTCCGTGATTAAATAAAATTGAAAAGAATTAAAAAATATCTAAAAATGTGAAATTTATATGAATCAAATTTTTCTATGAAATCTATGATAAACTATGAGAAATAATTTTTTTTTTTCATTAAAATAATTTAAAAAAGAAACAAACATGATTGAAAACATTTTTAGTGCGTAAATTATCCAATCTTGCATGAAGCCATCGTTCGCATGTCATATGAGCGAAGGGTTTGCTGTGAGATAATGTTGTGCACATTATATTTTCCTATAGATTTACAGAGGATTCTGGATATTTTTAATAAAGGATGTTTATCCAATGAATAACTCTGTCTACGACATTATTTGTGCCTTCTGTTATCGTTGCATAAATAAGGACGGTGGAGATGAATGATTATCAAGACGGTCCATTTCAGGAAAAAAGAAACAATAGAGGAATAAAAATAGCCAATTTTTCATATTTTGTTACCCAAAAGAAATGATTTAATTTTTTCATTTAACTAAGCCATTTAACTGCTTTGATTGGAAAGCCATCCTGAAATAGTTGGGGACACTCATGCGATTGGTTGGATGCTTATTGTTTTCCCAATTAGATCCATAATACAAGCAAGCATCAACACTTTTAATTATTTTCTTTCCTTAACATCTTATTTTTTAAATAATTTATTATACATATCCCCCAAATGTCACCCAATTCTATCGTCATCTCATCTGCGCATTTCATTTTAGAGTTAAATGATTCGCAAAATATTTTCTAAAATTCTCCCGAAATTGTGAATGAAGAAGTCTTCTGTATGGATGTGAATTTGCAAAATTCCAAAGTCATACAGTATGTTACTATGTTAAACTCCTCACAAAACTTTTATATTTGATTTTAAGTGTCAAACAAATAGAGCTTTATTGCTTGAAAATTCTTTCCATGCAGAATTTTCATTTAAAAAAATTATTCAAATATTGATTTCTCCTATTTAATACTAGAAATTTGTAAAACGAATTTTTAATTTCTACCAGTCGTTTTAAAAACTTACTTATTCTTTCAGTCAGTTGGAGCATATTGATTAAAACTAAAATTGTAAAGAAAAAAGCATTGTAATAAATCATTGTAATAAAAGTATATGCTTTGACAAGCATATACTTTATTGAAAGTGAAAAGTTAATGCATTATTCGATACAGAAATTTGTTTTTAGAGATTTATGAAATTTTCTTCAAATAATGGTAATTATTTTAAATTTATAATTTAGTGACTTACCATATTCATACAGTTTTATCATTAGAACAATTGAATCCACTAATGAAAAGTTTTGAAACGATATTTTTCAATATGTTGTATAATAGAAATGAAATGATCGGTTTTTTCATTCCAAAAATTTTCATGCAATCTTATTGCAATAAAACTGTTTATCCTACGAAAGCACTAACAACTGTGTTTTGTTGGAGTTTCATTTCAAAGATTTCATGTAATCTTAGTGCAATAACTGCTTATCCTACGAAAGCAATAACATTGCGCTCTGTTGGAGCTAGCAAAAGTAATATGTCTATTTTAATTTATTAAGCATAAAATAAAGTTGAACTACATGGTAGTAAAACTTAATTACTAGTTTTAGAGTGAGAAAAATGACAGAAGCAAGCAATATAGCAAAAAGGCAAGGATTCAATTTTTCAAAATATATGAAAACGAAAAGCCTTAGATTCATGCAACGATTACAAACTATACGGTGGATTTTGGTAACCTACAAAATTTATAACAAGTAAGTAAAATTCCCGTATTTTATTACTCTGACGAGATTTCAAGACATAGCTACTTTATCAATACTACCTAAAAGCAAATAGCAGATAGATCTTCGAAGTTTTTATTTCTTTTAAAAGAAAGAAAACAAGAATTTCTGAAACACGAGAAGGCTAGCAGTGAAATATGTTTATAAGAAATGAGCGATAATCATTAAATACTTGAAGTTTAAAGCCTATTGCGAATAATAAAGAAAGCATATGCCGGCTAACTTTATACAAGCAAGTCTTTTTTTCCGACATATTACCTATATCATCAACTCATTCATTTATATTAAAATTTACCATGGAAACTAAGCCAAAAATAGCACTGCACTCTTATCAACGGATAATTTCTAAATCTAAAAAATCACTCAGCATAGGACCAAACATTGTGATTATTTGTACACAAATGTGATATTGTATCGTAGAAGAAAATTTAGAAATCTAAGAAAACTAACTCATAAAAAGAACTTTCTCATGTAATGAATATCCCATTTTTGTGTTAAATTCCCAAGAGAAAAAAGTTTTTAGACAAAATTCAAAATAAAAACTTGAATTTTTTTCCTAGCAGAGAATACCTGCCAGATAATAAAATGGATGTTTTTCTTAACCTATAAATATTACAATGACTCAATTAAATAAAATAGTAAAACGAATTCTATAAATAAGAAAAACACGCAGAATTTATCATAATTCGGAATAAAAATGCCATTTAAATCACAATGTTGTGGAATTTTTTGCCTCCTTATTTAATTGATTTGATGAAATTAATGAGAAAAAAAGGATAAAATTAGTTAAATCTAAAAAATCTCCAAACCATTTTATGAAATAATTATTGGGAGATGGCTGAATAAACTCTATTCATTTTGTTGTCGTAGTATAGTTATGGAATAATGTGGAAAAATGGGCAGTACTTTTCAGTTGACTAATCAATTAATAAATAATTCTTTGATGTAATAATACTTTCTGTGCATTGCTAATTATTAATTTATATCTAAGCGTATATGATGAATTGATTTTCGGGTATATTACATATTCGGGTATACAAATTATAGAATTAGCTAAAATATTCAATTTTATAAATTTGGTCATTTTATAATTTTTCCATATCACTTACAAATAATCATTTTACAACACAAAACAAAACTACTCGTTATTGCATGAACAATTAGAATGAATAACTGAAGCAAATAACAATTAAAGGATAATGTCTTTTTATTTGATGCATAATATATTGTTTAATGGGAATAATTAATGAATGGGAAGAGAGTACTAAAATGTAGAGAAATTTGTGATATAAAGTTGAAATAATTTTTGTGATTTCTGAAGTAAAACAAAATTGTATTTGGTGGAAAGACATAGCTTAACTTTGTTGCAAACAATTACGAGAAGCATTTTTAGTTTTAGTTTATATTTTTTTTTCCTAGCGGCCAACAACTATTGATTTTTAAGTCTATTTTACCTGTTACCTTTCACCTTTTTAAATTAATTTTGGACAACAACTGAAGAACTAATTATGCGAAGACAAAGATGCGCGCAGCCATTTTATACGACAGTTCAAGTTTAAATAAATGAATTTACTAATTTAAATAAACTTACTATTTTATTAGTGCTAACTCTTTGGGGTTCCCAATATAATGCTGTAGGAAAAGTACTTTAATGGATATGAAATATGATATTACACTACATCTTGACAATCGTAATCCAATCTTTTTTTAATCATTAAATCATTATTTCATTAATATTACTGAAAACTTCTGAAGTCTGCTTCTAAAAAAATGCTAAGGTTGAAAACAAAGTATTCTGTTGCTAGAAAAATTATGGAATGATGCAGTAGTAAATTAGCAATTGCATTTCACTTCTAAGTACGAATGATTATTTAACAGCGATAAAGAATGATGAATTTGTAAAAATATATGAATTCAGACTACTGGTAATTCAAATAACAAGATTTTTCATATTTTGGAAATGATCAGAAATTGGAGATGAAGAAGTTATTTAAAAAATTTCAAACTACACAGTAGTTCAATAATTGAAACAAATAGTTGTAGGTTTTTATAAAATTATTTTTGCAAGAATATTTTTACATAATCTGAAAAATTACAGTAATTTATTGTTAAAATATTTTGCTTTTGAAGGAATTTACAAGTACAATTTAGAGAAAATGAAAATCAAATTATAAATTCTACAACGATTAAAAAATTTTTCAGAAAATTTTCAAAAAAAGAAATAATAATTCTTTTCTTACAATCGAAGGAAAATGCATAGTAACGGATCGCTGTACAATCTGCACAAAAAGTAATTTTTTTGCAGTTTTCTAGCAAATTAAGATATGAAATGCTTTAAAATAGATTATCACAGTGGTCGCTGTGATATTTTCTGCGGTTGTGCGACAATTCTCAATTGCATGTTTATAGCGGACCGTTGTATTGATATGATTGAACTGAAAAACTGCTGGCCTGTTGGGAATGGGTGCCAGTACTAGGCATTTGCATTACAGAAGAGCAATATCCTTGAGAGTGTAACTTGAACTTATCATCTTTTGACATTGGATTAGTGGCATTTGTGGTATTGGCTGTGTAAAATGGTGGCTGAGTAGGAGCAAAGCGAGATAAGGCCGTTGCATTGTTGGATGTTGTTGGAGTCATCAATTGAGGGAAAGTATGTTGCAACGGTCCCTATAAATTCGAACTTGAATTTTAAAAATAAATTAAAAAAAGAATGCAAAATTTACGATTGTAGATTTCAAAGAAATAGAAGGCGCCGTAAGTCAATCTAACCAAAATTCTATTTGGTAATAAATTATTTCGATTTACTTATAAGGTTGCCACCGCACAGTTTTTTAACTAAGAATCAATAAATTAGCAAGAATTACCTGTGCTTTTAAAGCCCAACCAAACGCGGTACTCGGATTCCTCGTAGAATAACCTTGCCAAGATGAGGAACCGTAAACATCGTCAAGCTATAATAAAACTTGAGCACTTAAAGAGTAGAGATTTTTAAATAAAAATTTTTGGTTAACTAAAAGAATTCCTAAAAACGTAAGTGAGGTTTAGTTAAAAGAAGTTGAATTTTAATCAAATAAATATAAAAAAGTTGACCTGTGGATGGGTTGGCAACAGAGCTTGTGGGAAACAACCGGTTGGTTGAAAGCTTTTGAAATCAGGAGTTAACAAATGACGCTCCCGTTTGCGCCATTTTGCTCGTCTGTTTTTAAACCACACCTTTAAAAGGTCGATTTATTCGATTTATTCCAACTAGCCACTCAAATAATTCACTCAAAGTTAGAACTTGTTATGAAACACAAACAGTATTTAAATTGGTTGAATTTAAGGATGAACTTAATATATAATAAATAAATAAATAAATATGCCAAACAATAATCAACATCATCCATACAAAAATGAAATGATTGATAAAATATCAAGAAGCTAAGAAAGATAATGAAGTTAAATAATTTAATCTTCACTAAATTTCAATTTTGTTTGAAGTTAATCAGGCATTATCTATGTGTTGTTTCATAAATCGCAGAAAAGCTTAAAAAATCAAAGCACGAAAATGATGATCTATTAGTCCATTGCAGAAATGATAGCGAGTCTATTGCAGAAATTGATTGCGATGCTTGTTAATAAAGACAATGCTCATTCATCTGCATATTCTAAAAGCGGGCGCTACTATATTTTGACTTCCCAAATGTTAGTTACCGTAAGCTTTGAAAGACCATTGGCTGTTTGCAAAGTATTTGTTCATGTTTTTTATTTTGCAATTATTTGAAAATATATCCATTCTCAAGGCTTCGGGCATCGAATCACGATTTGAGACTATTTGTTCAGTGCTTACCTCAAGAGGATGATAGATTAAATTAAAAGGAGCAATAAGCTTAATAAGAGGAACAATAAGTTCGTTGTTTCAGTTTAGTTGTTGACAATGGGGACGCAGAATACTAAGCAAGGAAGCGTAGGAAAATCAAATTCTTAATTAAAATTGGTATGTTGTTGGATGTTTTATGGCAACAGTAATGTTGACGATATCTGCATTACCGACATGCTGATAGAAATAATGATATTCGTGATAATAATTAAAGCAATGATAAGGGCTATGACGGTGATAATGATGCTAACGATAATGATGGTAATGAATGCTGAATGATGTTGGTGACGCATTGATAGTGCGTTAGTTTAATTAGCAAAGAAGGACAGCGATCTATGGCCGCTTGGGATTTAAATTCATTAGAAGTGACACAAATTACACATTTCAATTACAGGGTTTTGGGACTGCTACATCATCTCAAGATTTTAAGGTAAAGATATTATTTCAATTGAAGCTAATTTACGCATCTAAAAATCCCTTTTTTCCCACAAAAACAAATAACAAAATAACAGGAACGTTTAAAAAATGATTAAAAACCATATCTTTCCTTCTTATAGGAAATGAACAATCTAAGTTATTCAATCATGAACTGCAATTTTTTTTTGTACATACGCGAACTCGTGGCTCTGTAAGACTGATCCATAATGCAATTTCCTCTCTTGTGGCCATGTCTGGATAGCGATTCCGTGAGAACCAATTTTCCAACTCTGTTAGCTGCAGAATAATTGTTAGTAACAGAGGATGTTGTTAAACAGTTGGAGGAAATATTGTTCATAAAATGCTTAATTTCAAAATATAATTCTTAAAATTTCATTTCAAACTAATGCAATGCATTTCTCGATTCCATTTTTGGTGTTTGAGAGTAACAAACTTCGTGATTTCATATTTTCGAAATAGATTATTGATGGAAGTAATAAAAAATACAGAAGAACTTTGAGGGTTGCAAATTTACCTGATGACTTGTAAAATGAGTACGTTGTCTACGTGGTTTCTGGCTACTGATCAAACAAGTATCCGGTGATACATTCGAATTTCCATCACATTCAATACTTCCCGATGATGCATCATAGTCTTTTTTCCTATCTTCTACTACAAATGTTACTTTTTTGAAGTAGCTAAGGAAGAAATAATTTTTTAACTATCAAATACGTTAGAAAATGTTGTTAATGAAGCATCAAAAGCGATAATACATTTCTGCTAAGCATCCCCATATATATCATAATAATTTTGCTGAATCAGTGAAAAAGTGACGTAAACGTAAAAAACGTAAAAAAATGCAATCTTTTATCTGAATTTTACCAATGTTGTAAGAAGAATTTCGTCTAATATTTTATATTCGCAGTAAATTGATTCCAAAAAATTTTTTTGTATTTGAAAAGTGCTCTTGCAGGATTTAAAAATGCAATCTTTTATCTGAATTTTACCAATGTTCGAAAACAAACTGATAATTATGAAAGCAAATTAAAGTAGTGACAGTTGAATTACAAACTATTACGTTATGTATAAAATTTTTTAGAAAGGAGAAAAAATGCATTTAAAAACTGTTTGATTAGAACTGTTGAATGATAGTTATATTTAATAAAAATCATCGGGAATAACAGTCATAATAGCAGAAATTTTTTTGTTTAGGTAAAAATTCTGCAAACCAGAAGAGATTTATTAATGATAAAATACCGTAATATAACCGTCACTGTAAAATACGCTTATTTTCTAACATTTTGTTAAATTTTGAAAAGCTATGTGACCCTTTTTAGGTTTTTGACTATCATGATAATAAGACACTTGAGTAAAAGAATGGAGAATCTCTTGTAATTACTTACGCTGATTTTCTGACTAGCAACTAATTTGAAATAAACCAACACTTCATGGTGAATTTAAGTAAATTAACAAATAAATTCGCAAAAAATTTTAAGGTAAATCGTTCATTTCATAATCGTTTAGATTTAAGATTTTGGAATGAACTTTGAATCAGCAATAAAACATACTTCTCGGTAATTTTCCTGCAATATTATTCAGAGCAGTAGCACTTTGGTCAACGGCACCAACATTTGGTAATCGATAAATATCATGTTGAGTGGTGGAGAAAATGCTGGATGAGGAGCTAGATGGTGGTGGACAAATAGCACTAGTTACTGTCAGAGTATCACTGCTGGCAGTAATACTCAACGAGTTGCTATCGAACAGCAAAGTTGTGGCTGTTGTACTACTTGCAGTATTAGCAGCAACATTTACAGCTGCAGTTGTTGCAATAGCTGAAGCGTCCAATATAGAAGGAACGATGTCAGCTCTAATCAAATGCCCGGGAAAGCCTGGAAGATTGTGAGGCTGTTGCTGTTGTTCCGGATGATTTGCTTCTAAATCCATGACCAGAGAGAAGTTGTCGGAGTGTTTCCTGGATTACATTTTAAAATACTCAAGAATTAGTGCTAGCAACAAACTCACCCTACTTTAATTCTCCTGCAGCACATTTGGTAACCGTGAAAGAATCCCTGAACGAAACAATTGTGATTCACTGCAGAGTCCTTCTGTATCCTACGGATTAGTCCTAACAATTAACTAGGCCACTAGGATGATAGGATGATCCTACCAATCCAGAATGACTTTACTACTCTCTTATACACATGCAAATAAACTGAACCAGGGGTTGGGCCTTTTCATTTTAGTCAAATTACCCCTATGGTTTACTTTGAAAGTCTTCCAGGGTACGGTAACTTCAACCACTCCTCCTCATTTTCATTTCGATCTACTCCCCAATAATGCCCTTATGTTCGTTTTTCGTACGATTTTTTTGTTCAAGAAATTTAGATCTAATTTTATCTTTAATTCTTCACCCATCTTTAATTTTAACTTGATTTTTTCACCTTTGCATTTTCGTATGTTGACAATGCCTTTGAGAAGAAATCATGATAAGGCACATTCCTAGCTACTCTTCTGGGATGTTGAACATTCCATTTATAAGTTTCAGACAATATTCTAAAAATTCAAAGTACTATCAAAGAACGAACTGAAATTGAAATCCTTTCAAAATTTAGAATACCCAATCACTGCGAAATGCAAAACTAATTCACTTTAAATGATTCTGAAAGTTTTCTGTTAAACAATTTAACGTTACGATATGAGGATGTAGCGCACAATTCATGGCTTTACGCCGTGAGAGATCATTTTGTTAAAAAAAATTTCATGAATAGAACCACGAAATGTCTGACCGTAATAGGATCTGATCGCTGTATGAATTATGTTGTTCATTGGAAGAATAAACAAATTACTTACTTCATCTGCCGGCCAGGCAATCGTTAACTTGAATTATAAACATCCTTGCTCCAGTCTAAATTCCTATTGCTGCTCTCCACAGAGACAAAGAGAAGAGGTCAATGAGTTCAACAAACAGATGACTTAAATTAGCTCAAATTTCTGCTTATTTTCATATGTTAGTATGGTACCTTCAGGTCGCAATTTTATGGAAATGGTATCAGATGAAGCCAACAGCAATTTCTTTTATTTTTTATTACAGCAAGGAAGTGGTTACTGATTGACAAAAATAACAACTGAAGTCGTCGATGGTCAACGATGGTAATAACGATAAAAATCTTCTATATTTCGGTATATCATTCACTTACAACATCGCTTGAACTACGAATTCTTATTTTTGAACAATAATATTTATTTAAAATGTTAAAGGAGCTAAACCTAAACCATCATATCGTCATTCTCTTTCAGTATGAAATTATGCCTAGTAGATCAGTCACCTCATTCATAGCTAAACGTTGTCACGCTCAAATGCTAAATGATCTAATTATTTTTTGCTAGGAGGAAGGGATGGAATACTTTACATTACACTCAAGAAGACACAACTCCCTTGATTAAACTTGAATCTACTTGATGTTGGGAATTTTCAAATGACCATGAGGACGGCATCATTCGAATAAGGCACGCAATCCAAGATGTTGATATTCGCCAGTTTGTGGATGACATATGGTTGCGGTGTTTAGTCTTTGTCAAATACGGAAGGCACGGCTAAGCTATCAACTGTCACCTCGTGCACCAAATGCTCACTATATGACATTGCGCAATCAGGGTACATAACTTTACCGCATTCACATTTATGGAACTAGTGAACCGTTAAGCATTACTAAAAGCCATCAATCTCGCCACCCTAACTGCAATTTTCAAAATGACCGCTTTTCTTACCCTACCAATTTGCCTTCCATGCAAGTGATCCTTGTGTTTCTTAAGATAACAAAACCTAACTCTTAAAACTTGTAATCCGCAACTAAGACTTCCAACTGTTCTGAACAACAAATCTTCAAGAATTCAACTTTGAAGGATGGTTCTCGTTGTTCGGCTCACTATTACAAAATTTGTTTCAAAGTTTTGTTTCTCGCCCATAATAATGCTTGTTTTATGCAGTTTAAAATATTTAAAAATAATAAATGAAATAAACTGCTCAAAGTTAGCAAACCACTTTGACTTTTACGATAGTAGTAACGAATATGCGATGTTAAACAATACGCCTCAAAAAGTATGAATAACGAGCAAGATAGTTGAAGTTACAATAAACTTTAAGATGTAACGAAAGAACATTACGACTGAAGCAAAATTAGTGTATAACCTTAAAAACAACCCATTTGTAAACTACTAGAAAAAAGCTTCAAACAGATGTGGGTAAAAAATGCATTCAGAAAAAAACAAAAAAAATCAATATGATCTACAATTGCCAGGAAATTTAATGAAAACTACTCCCTCATGGTCAGATCAGCTGCAGTAATCTTGCTCAATTTTAAAACAATGCGAATTGCTTAAAAAAACAATGCTTAAAAAGTAAACAATCACCATTCGATTATTCAATACAGCCCAATGATGACATTTATGCCAAATATAAATGTACAAAGCAATACTAAAAAAAAAATTTACGATGTCTGTACCGAATACTCTCTTATTAAAAGCATTGCAGAAATTCTAAAATATAAGGTCAACCTGAGATCATGATTCATAATTTCTCCGATGCGTCTGAAATGCTTTCAAGATCAAAAATACACTTGTAATGACATCAAATGCTCGATTCGTAATTTCATACAAGCACTTTGCATATGCATCATCGCTAACAAGGATTAAGCTCTATTGCTCAAGTTATATAGAACCAAGATAATGCTCTTCCTTGATGTTATTTCGCTGCAAAATTTCATACATTCATAGTTTTTTCATACAAAATTTCATACATTCATAGTTTTTCTGACCCTGTGACACTTTGAATTAACAAGACTTAAAAATGGAATCCAAAGAATCTTGACAAGGTTATAATAAAGTGAATCGAACCTCTGGATTTATAGGTTTGTAATAATCAGTAACAGTTCCAGTATACCTAAAGAAATCGTAGTAATCATCTTTTAGAAAGCAGGACCATTCGGGTGTATCTAAAAAAGAATACGACAACAATACTTATCCAAATCTAACAATAGCAAAAACAACAGCAAAATCTGTTTTAGGAATCAGACATTTCGAAAGCTCGAATACACTTAACAAAACCGGAGACAAATCATGACGTCCTATCCGGAAAGATATTCGTTAATCAACACATGATTTGGATGTCTACTGGGAGGAAACATGTCACCAAGTGTCATTAGCTTGTCAATAACGAAGTTAAGCCATTAAGAAAGTTTGCAAGAAGTTTAGCGCATTTATCAAAACTGAATTAAAATGATGTAATTTAACCACATGTAAAAACGAGTTTTTTCTCAAATTGCAGCTTAAAAGACCCGTAACTTCAAGAAGTGTATTGAAGTATACCGCAGGAATAACACCATCCGAGAAATCTGTTCGGAAATTGCTGCCATTTCGGTTTCGGTATTGAATATACTTTGGAAGGAAAAACTCCTCTCTTCGTAATAAAGCTTGGGATATATCGAATAGTTAATGGTGCCTAAACAGCTTTCTATAAAAAAGAAAATACTTTCAAAAATAGTTTATTGATAAAATAAAGCTAGAATGAAACAACTGCACACAATACATACTTTCCTGACCACAGATCTATTGGAGGATGGACCGTCATACATATATGTAGATTATTAACAGATGTTCCACGCCCGGTTTCTCTAGATTCGTTTTTTGATTACGACAACAGCAGAAGTTTCCGCTTCTCCATCTCATCCAGAACAAGGCGCACTAAATTCAACAAATTCAACAACAGTTCCTTTCAGAAATCACAAACAAAATTCCAAACTTCACGTCCCACATTCCTAATTCTATACTCCATAATCAAATAAGAATTCCTACTCACGAATTCCTCCAGAAACTCTCCCTAAACAAAAACTAGCGGAGAAGAGGTAATTGATCGACTTGGCAACCAACACTAATTTCCGTATTGATTCGCTTCTTAGCAAATATCAAACAAAATCAACAAAGAAAAGTAATCTCCAACTTTAAATAAAGAAGACAATAATTACAGAATTAAACATAGCCTCTGTTACGCATTTAGTAAGCGACAAAAGAAACAATGTGTTTTTGATGTTTCAAGACTTATATATCTTAATATATGTTTAATGTGGATAAAAAAAACATAAAGTAAGAAAAAATATGCTGCCTAAGACATATCCTGCCGTAAAACAATAAGGGAACTTGAATATTCATTCAAAACAATTAATGGACACACATAAAAGTGAGCAAACCAGCAAGCCAACAACTATTTTTCCTGCCAATGAAACAATCCTAACTTTTTGATCAAGATTACTATCAAGTCAACGAACACTTCTTCACAACAGAAATGATAAAAAAAGGTTATAAGATGTCAAAAATTTCACTGACAATAAAAGAACGGGTATAACAAATTCAATAATGTTAACCATCCTGTGAAAACTTTCAAGTGAATAAATCAAATTAAGTAAATGAAAAATCAAAATTAGCACCATGAGAAAGATGCTGTTTATGATGATACGATGAAGGATGATAAATTCCAGTTAAAATTTAAATCATTTCCTGTTTAATTCAAAGTTAAAATTTAAATCATTTCCTGCTTAATTCAATATTAATTGCGCGAAATTCGAGAAACAAGGTCCGGTTAAAATGAATTTAAAATGCACAATACTGCAGTTTGACATTCACTATAAAGACGGCAATATCCCAGAGGAAAAATCATCAGTAATGTTGTCAAATCATTTACTACAGCTACACAATACAATATCATCTTTACAAGTCAAACAATTGGAGCCCAATATCAACAACGGAAAATTCTGATAAATATTCTGATGAGGAACCTTTTCATAAAATCATATTCGGCAGTTTCAAATGTGTTCAGCATTCAGAACATGATGTTTCAATAATTTCGATGCAATCCAATATTTCTACAGCATTGGCAAAAGTTCATAAATACGTTTAGCTTCAATGATTTTATTGCGATTCAAGAATTCCACAATAAATGATTGCGAGTAGAATTACAAACCGGCTAACTGAAGGACTTGTTCACAAACTTTTTTATACAGGAAAGCATCACCATTAAGACGTTTTCGCTTAACACCTACTAATCTCTCCTTATTACCCATTTCAATCCAAACCACCTCCAATTCTACGGTCATCATCCGATTGAATTCATCCTTTCTTCGACCAGATATTTTCCACCTAAAATAAAGACATAAAGAAATACTAAACAATAGCATATTATATAATGCATATTATTTGCTGTAAATTAAAAAAAAAACAGTCCAGAAAAGCTCCTACGATACCTGGTTTCGTTCTAGAATCGATATCACCTATGGATGCACTCACGATATAAATTAAATTCAATACCCATGGTTTTCCGTTGCAATGCTTTGTTCAGCGAAAACGCGTATTAGTTCGCGACGTACACGATCTGGATTCTTGGAAGATGTAATTGACACATTAACCATTGTCTGAAAAGCCTTCTTTTCTGCAGCATATTGAGTAATCTCAAATTCAAAACTTTAAATAAACAATCAAGATAATACAAAGCTGAAAGAAGGCAATGTTAGGACAACATTAATTTAATTAATTTGGAGCGTAAGACTTCTGAATAATGAAAGGCGAAGAAAGCAAACCTTAGTTTGCTTCAGCATTTCGGGTTGGTTATTTTTAACTTTGCGCGGCGTCAGTAAATTGATCATTTTATCAGCTTGCCGTTCCAGTGATGCAAAAACTCGTTGACGAAGACGCGGTGTCTTAGATGACGATCGTGGAGTGTGTACTGTGCACGATACGGGAGTACATGGAATATACGGTGAAGTTTCATTGCGCTCCGCAGATCGTGATCTGAAAGTGACACTACTTGTTAAACATTTCGAAAAAAAGAAAACTAATTGAATCATGGAACAGCTAGCTTTGAATCCGATACTAACCTCATCTCCGCAAAAGGTGCATAAGAAGTTGGGACTCGCAACGGTGTTCCATAAAGATTACTTCTTGGACGTTCATCGCAAATCTGTAAAGAGCTCTACTGCTAAGAAAATTAAGCCGGAAAACATGTACATTTAATTTGATAACTTCATTATTCGAAGTTTGCTTTGACGAAATCACTAGACTGAAATCTGCTGGCTCAGATATCCGTTCTGAATGTCAACATTGTATTTTTTCAAGATTGTTGCGAATTATCGTCATTGCCAGCTCATTTTGAGCATCTTAAAACTCTGACCGTGTATTATTTCTAAATCTTAAGATGATGATCCACAAACAATACAGGGTCATAATTTTAAAATGAAATATGGAGAAATGTTACCAATAAGAATAAAGTTATAGACTTCACAACGAAATAATGTCTTCTGTTCAACGGAAATCAGAATAGAACAAAAAAAACTACTTAAGCACTACATCTTTCTCTCCTCTTCTCCCTTCATATGCAAAAACTTGTTTCGCATATACATATGACATTTCCGTTCTTGATAACAACGACAGTCAGTGAACTATGCTGCTTTGAAAATTCCCATTAAAAAAAAGGAAAATTGAACTGAAATAATTAGCTGTCTTAAAAACATTGGCTCTCCCTAATTTTGTAGTCCCAAATTCCCCAGAAAGTTGAAATTCTATCAGGAAATAGTTTTTTCACTTTACAATGAAATTTAAATTAAAACTTTATCAGACCTTTATCGGATCATGCGCTCTTGTGGTGGATGGATGCCAATTTTCTTTGTCGACTGTATGGTAGTAAAGACGCGAATCAAAACCAGCACCACACTAGAATATTTATGGATTTCGCACAATATGGTTCAATATCAAGCTCCAAAATTATTTCCGGATAGAATCATGACTTTCAGTACTATCATCACACAGGACTTACTTGAGGCTTCATTCGACGTCGTGCTGGCGTAGCATAAATTGATTGGGCACTAGAAAAGTCGTTCTCCTGACGAATGCCACAAGCAGCACGTTGCTTGGGTGAGCTTCCCGAGTGAATAGAAGGCATATTCAACATTGCATATGCATAAGATAAATTCTAAACTGGGAAGCCAATGTAAGAAAAAAATATATACGAGGAAAAACTTGATGACATTATGTTTTCTGAATAGATTTAAGAACTAGAAAACGTGGCAGAAAATTATACAAGAAGGAAAAAAAGAAACTTTTTCGTGTTGCGTTGCTACAGGAGAAATGGTAATGTCTCCCTCAAATAGCTTCCCAGTACAATTTGCCTTTGATGTAGCTCCATCTGCTTCTGATACCATTAAATCATTTTCGTCCAAGCCAGAATTATTTAAATCGTCATCTAGTGAAGCATGTATTGTTTGGGAACCCAAAATAATTTGCTGCGGACTGGCCTACAAATTTCTAGAAAATTGTTTGCTGCAAGAATTCCAATAAATTCTGAGAAAAAAGACATCGGACCATTTTTGTACCAAATATCAACAAAATGAAGGAGAGATCAGACTCATAACGGGAAATCAAACTTTATCATACCATTCCATCTCGAGGCTTCAATACTGGCAAGACGAAATTCATTCCACGTCTTTTCTGTTGCAACAGCAAACGATACGTAGCAGTTAGATAGTCAAATTTCCACTAAAACATCAAACTGACGTCAACACTAAATCACCAAAAAATTGTTAAGAAATAGTAAAGTATAAATTCCTTACAAAATTTATTAAACCGGAAAAATTACCTCCTTAACAAGGGTTTCCATCTGAGTATATGATCGCCCAAAGTGGAGAGCAAGTTCTCTGATCACTTCTTCATCGACGACATTTTTCTGTAATCTTATTTTACATCAAATTTGAATCAGAAATGCAAGCCATAATTCGAACTCATTTGTTGAAACATTTGAAATGCTAACATCGTATATAGATTTCCATTTCAGTGTCTGAGTGTATTTTTTATTGATCCACGGATGGACGATCAGTTTGGAAATAGTGATGCGCTTCTCAGGATCAACTTGCAACAAAGACTTCAGCAAGTCTCTACTTAGAGGGCTCACATAGTTCGGTTCGTAATATTTTCCTGTCTGAAGTCAAAAACATTGAGACTACTGCAACAATTTGTAAATCAAAGATGTCTACCAAAAGTTAAAGTATTTTCTTAATAATTGAAAACAAGACTTTTGTAACACATAATTGAAAACAAAACAAGAACTTTTTGTTGTAACACACCGCAATCTTCGCATACAATTTCTGGACATTATCATCTTCAAATGGTAAGCAGCCACAAAGTAGTGTGTATAGTAGAACACCCATCGACCATATGTCAACTTGATGTCCTTTGTATGGTAATCCCTATAATGGGTTTTGTACAATTTAAGAATAAGATCAAAATGTTACTATGAAATAAATTTCACATATTAAAAAATAATGAATAAAAGATGTTTACCTGAATAAGTTCAGGGGCAGCATAGGCAGGCGAGCCACAACACGTATGCAGAAACTGAGATAATCCAAGTGGTGGTTTAGCGCAAAGACCAAAATCAATGAGTTTCAATTGCAAATCCTCAGTCAGTAACAGGTTTTCCTAAAATATAAGAGACACTCAAAATTTGCTGAACGTTGGTTTGGCTTTCGTTTCCTGAATCTTAGCGAAAGATATACAAATAGTTATCCTCATAAACCTCAACTAACAGGCTTTAAATCTCTATGGGCAAATCCCATGCTGTGAACATAAGCAATAGCTTGAACAAGCTGTCGAAAAAAGTGACGCGCTTCGGATTCTTCCAACCGTTCCTTTTTAACAATGTAATCGAACATTTCACCGCCACTACAATACTGAAATGGAATTCGCTATTCACAAACACTAGCTTTTCGGCTTTTAGCAAATCTAATTTCAGTCTTTAACACGGAACTATAAAAGGTATAAAAATGCACACTACAAAAACGCACACACACATACACACACACACACACACTACAATAGATATAATAGCTAACCTCCATAACAATAAAGAATTTCAAGGGCGTGTCAATACACTGATACAGCCTGCATATATTTTGATGTGATAATAGCGTCAACGCGTCCAGCTCAGTTCTTATTCGAGGTAAGTCCTCCTTCTTAACGAATAACTTTAATTTTTTTGGCCAAAAAATCGAACAAATTATACTTCTTAAATCAAGCCTCCTTGACCTGAGTTATATTTCTTTTGCATTACTTAGAATTTATTACTCTTATTGTCATCATCACAATCAACAGAGCTCACATCATGCAAGTGTTTTTTAGCCAGGAGTAACAGATTGCATGACAAACATTGTTGCAGGCTCAACTCCGCAAATAAGCTCAAGTCACCAGTCATCGCATAATCTATTATTTCGCTTGATGGATTTTATTTGCTAACGGATGAAAACGTGGGAGTCTCCTAGTACCACATAACCATTAGGTCATGCATTCTGCCATGGCCGGACAGAACTAAACATGATACCCCAAACCGCGACCAAATATTTTGTAAGTTTTGTGGAAGAGTCATAGCGATAACTAAAATATGAGTTCCACTTTACACAGAAAAGTTGGATTTTTTCATTCCATCTGACTGTTTTTCGGTAAAAATATTAATCTTCAGTAAAATACAAATTTTTTATTCGCAGAAAATCATCAAAGTTGAATATTCAAACCTTGATTTTGAGCTTATCGATGATCTTAATGGCAACTTTTTGTGAAGTTAGCAAATGTGTTGCTAGACGCACTTTGCCAAAACCACCAGAACCTAGTTCGTCATGTAAAACATACAAGCCTTCCAGAGCTGCATATGGCGATAACAATTTTCTAACCTCACTAGTACCCGAATTATGAGATGAAACTACCGACATCTGTAATTTTAATCATAACAGAAATGACATGCACAGTTACTAGAGATTTCTGGTGGTGTTATAGACTTAAATATAATACACTGTAAATCACAAAGATGAACAACAAATGAAGTATTTAAGAATCGAATCGATAAGGTCTGATTTTCAAATCACTTATAAACACAAATTCTTAGGAACGATCACAATTAAGGAACTATAAGTACGCAGCACGATTAATTCGCACAAGGAAAGCATAGAGCGATACGACAAGTCGTCCCGGATTGATATGAAATGTGTGAATGGAATATTTAATTTAAAGCGGACATATTAAATCATGAAATAATAATGGTATCCGCTTTTGCATAAATGCAAATTACACTATAAAGGTTCAAACTGAATGTCTCGAACAAAATGCATTTCCAAACATACTCATATTTTGTAGAAGTTACATATGAGAAAAATCTGAAGCAAGTATGTAGCTTCACCTTCCTATGGATTTGACTTTCTAAACCTCAGAGAAAGAAAATTGCATTCAACATATCAGACAAGATGGAATAATTCAGTTTTCCCTTACCGTTAGACTAAGCAGCACCCCTCATCCATGGAAGTACGTATAGTCCAGTCGCTTACGTAACTTTTAAAAAGATTGACCACGCAGTCACTGTCATGCACTGTCACTCCCGTTGAGCAAACACCCACCTACTCAAGTTGCTCCCGAATCGACATCCCATCAGACGACTCGTTTGAAATTTGCCGCAGATTTTGAAAGTTTGGACGAAACCCAAGGATATCATTGCAGCGTTGTATTAACAAGAAAGATGTGAGCAGTACGTCAGGTCGTGTGTACACTAGGCATTTCACGTAAACCATTCATACCTTCACTGTAAAATTTCATTAAGAGATATCAAAGAAGTTCGATCCGTGACTATCAGTGACCTTAATTAAATTAATTAAAGTCACATTGTGAAACAAAAGGCATTGGCTCGAAACTTCTTTCTACCTTACTTAGAGACTCAGTGCAGAAAGTTGTCAAATCTGCATATTTTCAGATCAAGATACGACACAAGTGGTGAAATTTTTCATTTTGAAATGTCGCTGAAAGGAAGACTGCTAAATTCCATATCGAATGCTCTTTCTCGTCCAGAGCTGGATTTCGATTTTCTGTTGAATAACAAGAATCTGGACCTGATTAAGGAAAACATACGGTGTCGTAAAGGTATTGGTGATATCGATGCGGTTCATAGGTTATGGAAGCAAATCCAAGGTTATTCAGGGAAGCTGGAACAGTCCGAGCAGGAGTATCAGTCATTATGGGATAAAGTAAGTATTTGTTTTCCCTTGAAAAATATTAAGCTACTCATGAAAGCTTCTACAAATTTGAATGGACTTTGTTTTCCAAGCAAACAAAGAGTTGAATTTACAGCTGTATGAAGAAGCCATGCTTATACCGAATTTATGTCACACAAGTGTTGCAAAGGGTAACTTTTCGACTGCGCATGCTGTGCGACTGTTTGGTGAGAAACGAAAGGACGATAATTTGGTAACTGCGGAAACTATTGCTAAAGCTTGGAAAGCTCTTTACAATCCCTTAAATGCATGTGGGGAACGAAGTTACGCATTTATAGGTATTTTTTTCAAATTTTCACTATTATTTAGAAGATTAAAATTTTTCAACTTTTTATGACTGTAGCCCCCAACATCTTTTAGGTCCTTTAGCGGATTTGGAGCTTGCGTTACTTGATTACGTTTCATCGGTCGTGGAACAGAGAGGCTTCAGGCCGGTCATTGTACCGGACATAATTCATGCGAGTATTCCTGAAGGATGTGGATTGCAACAAAGATCGGATAAGGATATCTTGTATCGTCTGAAAAATTACGACGATTTATGTTTGTCGGGTACATCGGGTTGGTAATTGTTATTTTGCGTAATGTTACATTTTTCTGGATTTAAGTTAAAATGAAGTCTAAAAAAATTTTGATGGTCTTCTAAATTGTTTCCACTGAGATAAGTTCTGTTACGTCAAAATCCAGAAAAATGTGGACTGAAATCACTGGGTTTGTTTAAATAAGTTTATCTAGAGAGATCTAACTTAGTTGACTTGATTGTGGAGAGTAATATAATTTCATAACTATTTGTTTGGATAGAAGTTCAATATATTTAAATTGTCTGAGAAAGGATGGTGCCTCAGAATCCAAAGAACATTTGAGATCTCCTTTCATTCAAACAGATAGAATTTTTGTATTTGGAGAAATGGGACTCAGCAGTTTGGTAAGTGGACGGGTTTTTGGGCACGATGAATTACCTCTTAAGCTGAAAGCTTTGAGCAGATGTTATCGGCCAGAAATTGCTACAAATGCTGTCGAAAGTAAATTGTACAGAGTTCACGAATTTAATAAGGTCTTTCTTTATGTTTTTTTTTACTCGTTAAAAGCTTTTTTCATAGTAGGAAAAGTATTGTGGAGCGCATTACGCTATTAGAAGGGTTTCAAGAATTTGATTTGGGTTTGGATTATGTTTATTTTTTCCCTATGCATGCTACAATCATAGTTATGGCTTCCGAAGAGTAAATTTCATTTTTCAATTCCCCTGATTGGTAGTTGAATTTAATAGAATAATTTGGTAAGAAAACCTTTATGAAGGATTTGAAAAAATTAAAGGAAAATTTACTGAGGAAAAGTCATGCCTCAAAGAAACACACCAAAAAATGAACGCAGTATTACAGTTCTTCTAAAATATGGGAAATAGTCTAAAAGTTTAGAAGAACAAAACGGAAGAACTGCAATACCTGTCAGAACATATTGAAATCCTTCCTAATTTCAAAATACGTGTATTTTTCAGTAAGAAAGCTTTCACGGTATATCACTATTTCGATTTGTTAAGGGACTACAGAATCCAACAAGAAAATCTGATATAAATTTAACTTAGTTTTTGATTTTGTCCGTGAACTGGTTCACCATTGCGAGACACCCTGCAGTACATGATAAGGCGTTTTAAAAATCGATTTTAGAAAATTTCAGATCGAAATGTTTGTTGTTTGCAATGAAAATGACAGTGACTTACAGCTAGACGAATTGGTCGAAATACAGATTTCAATTTTTTCAAGCTTGGGATTGCATTGCAGGTCTTCATTAACAGATTGACGTGATGTGTTTGTGTTTAGCTGTAATTATAAACTATTAGATTATTAATTTTTTAGACTTCTGGATATGCCCTCGGAGGAATTAGGTGCTTCAGCTGCTCGCAAATTCGATATCGAAGCTTGGATGCCAGGAAGAAAGATGTTTGGTGAAGTTTCAAGTGCTTCAAATTGCACTGATTATCAAGCAAGACGACTAAGTTTGTATTTCTTCGCAACGTTTATATTTCCTCAAAATGTAAATATCACTGTTTATGTTCTGTTGCATTGATTTTTCCACTTGTTTAATAATTTGAAAAATATTCGCTGACAATACCGCTTCAGGTATTAAATATCGTGATTCGAATGGTGTGGAAAAATTCGTTCATACTTGTAACGCTACAGCAGTTGCGACAACACGAACACTTATTGCTTTGTTAGAAACCTACCAGAGTGTAATTTTTTTTATGGTACCGCTCCCAGTTTTAATTCATTTTTTATTTTTGCATTTTGCAGATTTTCATTTTCTTATTATTTTAGAAAAGAAAGCGTTTGCTAGAGTTACCGTACGAAATTCGTCGAAGGATGCCCAAACCGAGGTCCTGGACTATTAGCTTACATAATGCTACAGATGTAAATACCAGTCGTCGGTGTACTTCGTAATTATTTTTAATGAAACAAAATTATTATTAAAATTCGGGCACTAAAATTATGAATTCAATTGCGAAAAATAATAAATTTTTTGACGAACACGAATATTCTTGAGCATGGTATTTTACTCTAATGTACATAAATATTTTGGGATTAATAGCATTCAGTTGACTATCTTCAGTCATTGGTGTTTTTTTACCAGCAATCAATCCATCGTATTCCGAGTAATTTCTATTATGATTTGGCACATTTTCCAGCAGCAATTTAATTAGAATTTAGGATTTCAGGCGTTAATTAAATCTAAATAGGTTCGTAACTTTTGTTGCGAACTTATTCAGATTAACGGGAGAATGTATTGTAGTAGAAAAGCATGGTTGAAATTAATTTTTTTCGAATTATCTGGGTCTACATTCTTGTTTTGAACGCTGGTTTGAAGTACTGAGATAGTGTGTGAACTGATGTAGTTTCACAGAAGTCACCGAGAAAAATCTATCGTAAAGTTATAAAAGCGCACTGATGCCGTCTTATAGATCTAAGAACTAGGGCAATACTTAAATTTGGATTACGATTGAATGCGCGGTCTCAAATTTATGACCATGTAAAATCGTTTATTTCCGTGCATTTCTTTGTAGTGGTTTTCTGGTGATGTTCATTCCTACAACTTTACGAACTTCTTGTTCCAAATTTCAAGCTAATAAATCTAATGGGGAGTGTTTTTTAATACTTTAAATCTTCTAGTCATGGGTTTCGAATCTTATAGAAATTTATAAATTTATGGATAGCGCTCTTTCATCATATCAATATTCATATATAGTTATTGCTGAAATGACTGAAATGATTGAAATGGATATGTGGTGCGTGTTATGGATACTGTCTGTTGTACTGCCTGAACTGCTGTTGGTGGAGTGCATGAGTTTCTTGTTTTGCGTAATTTGTAAACATTAGGAGACTATTTTCATTCATTTCCTGCTGTATTGTCGACTTCATTCATAAACCTGAGTGACTATTCGTTAAATGCTTCATTTCTTGCAAGATTGTTGTCAGACTTTTATCGAGTTAATCCGCTATCCATGAAATAAGTGCCTTGACAGTTTTAAATTACCACTAGACACGCATAGGGGATTATTTTTTGTTTTTCCTATAAAACTTAACTAGTCTTTTAACGCGATTATGTAAGTTCTCGAATGTTTCATATGCAGTCAATCAAGATCTTTAGGATCTTTCAGTCAATATTCGTCAGTGTAATAATTGAAAAATACAATTTATGATGCTACAATAATAGACAAGGTATTAAAGAATGGTGTAGGAAATTAAATGGAGTTATGAGGGGTTTTGACAATTGTTTAATAAAGTTGATTGGGTTTATTATTTCCTTAATTTAGAATTTGAATTTGACTTTAACTTGATCAGACCAATAGTTCTTGTGTTTGGAAAAGTTCATGACTTGGATATAATGATAATCAGATGTGTGCTCTCTGCTGTTGAATTCAAATGATGCCAGTATAAGAATGCACTTCTAATAAACGCTTTGCACAGAACTGAACAATTCCTGCGTTTCCCAAATTCAAGTTTTAGTTAAAATACTACTGTAATTTAAGGAACGACTTTTAGAAGGTAAAGCTGACACAGTCACGATTTGCCATTTTACTTACCTTAATCTAATGCTTAATTCACCTAAAATTTCATCTACAACATCGCTTGTTTACTAATCACTGAACCGTGAACAAAAATAATTGGTTTTCGAACAAAATTTTATCCATCACAATAAGCGTATGTATGATATAGTGGATGAGAGTTAGAAAACGAAATACCAAACAAATCACATTTCAACATAATTGGAGAACGACAAAACTAAATATATAATACGAAGTATAAGAAATAATTTAAAAAATACAGGAGCAATGCAGACCAAAATAAGTTAAAACGAGCTAGGAAAATTAGTCAGATTAGAGTAGTGGAGCACACAATCTAATTGGCACGTAGTTATGTAGCAAAAAGCAATGCAGAAGTAGAAAATTCTTTTGGTCAAAGCTCGTGTAAAACGACATAATAGTCAATTATACCGCCCCATCCTCGTCATTGAAACCCAGCAGCATAGATTGTCGCTCGATATTATCATTCAACTTGGATTTATTAGTGTCGTATTTATCATTCATTTCCTGAAAAGCACGGAACATACGAGAAAGACGGCTATTTACTGGGAAAAAAATTGAATTTTGAACCTAAAGAAAGAAAAAAAGCTGGGCCAAGCATTTAAACTAAAACGAAAACTGATCCATCTTAAATTCAAAGTTCAATTTTTTGTTTCTGAATAGTTCTTGAAACAAACGTCGCCAGAAATCAAGAACTAACTTTTCGTTTAACCACTGTGTATGCAGCCGAACCGCCCAGAACAATTGCATTACTTACCCACCAAAGCAATGGTTTCACCTCTTGCCACCATACAACTGCAATAACAGTTTGAGCTGCTGCCTTCGCTGTGCCACTGATATTATGTGTTAAAGGCGATGTAACCTAAATCAAATTATCAAAAAAATTTGAGCCAAATAAATGATAAGTTATTGCTGCTTCGAATGTAAAAGACAGCAAAAACCTACCTGAATCTGCCATCCAGTAACATAGCTCATTAAAAAACCAAAAATACCAGATAATGTCATCAAAGTCCAAAATCGTATGGAAGATAAACCATGGAAATAAAACACTTCACTGATATCACCAGTGAAGAACATAACAGGTAGGAATAACACTAATGTATTTATATTGTTGTACCTCAAAAAAAAAGTTCTAAGAATTTCAAAATCCTGTTAGCTATCACATTACTTGGTCATTCACAAACAATGAAAAAATTCATTAATTTCGACTTGATGTTTTATTACTTAATCTCTTAATGATTTATTTAGCTTACAAAGTGAGCTGCGCAATACTATCGCCAACTGATGGCAAAGTCCGCTGTGTATAAATGGCATTCAAGGCAACAAACATTGACGCTGCTACACCATAGATAACACCAGTAACAGATAGAGTCCCTAGAAAAGTTAAATTTCACAGAAAAAACACCCAATTGCAAAGCAATCACTTTGGAAGTCGAAATGTACCTTTGGGACAAAAAAGTGCATTAAAACATCAAATCACCAAAACGTCCTCAGCTGAAAGTAAATGTAGGTATACCCGAAACATCTTCCTGATCCACGCCGAGAAAAAAACCTCCAATAATTAATGCACAGCATGAAATGGTTCTCAGTGATGTTAGCTGTCCCAAAATTAGGTAAGAACATATCTGAAATGAAGTTGGCTAAAGATCTGACATGAACTACAATTTAAAAGGGCACCAAAAACGCCATCTCATCACAGTCGAGAATAAATTCCTAATCCAACTCATCGTTCTGCAGTATTTTAACTTCAAGCAGTTATTTTTTCTGCAACTCTTCATACTCTTTTACGCCTAAAATGTACTTTTTTTCAGCACAACATATATTTTGGAACCACTATGCTTCATATTTCAAACCTCACTTACCACATTGAAGACAGTAGTAAGTGACCTTCCAATATAATAAAACGAGACACCGACATACTTTAAGCAAAGATTATTCGTAGCTATCATTGCAACAAATACAAATGAAAGCGGCAATACCTGAAAGTGCAACATTAAGATACAGTTGAGGTATAGAAGAAAAGATCAAAATTTGAGCAATTAAGTGCAGAATAGATCCCAATATTTCCAGATTCTTATCCAGATATTGTTAGTGATACAATAACAGTCTAAAAACTGAAAGAAAGAAAAATCAATGGATTAAAAAAATATATACCTCTCTCGAAATTCGGTAATCAAAAGACATGAATGGAAGTGTAAACAATGACGGATATAGTTTAGAAACACAACAAAAAACATAGAACAGCATCACTGTTACACAACACTGATACCAAGTTATAAAAAACGGTGCATTGAACTGCAAATATAGAACATTCTTAATACAGTTCAGAAGATTAAATTTTGAAAATGATTGTACAGTAGCACCGAAAAATGCACCCTCAACTTTTATCACTAGTATCGAACACAAAAAGTAACATCCTGTTCCCAGATTATAAAAGAATTTTTTTCTATAATTACAAGAAACTCTTACTTTAAGTGACTCACTGCTTAGCAAATACTTGTTCAGAAATACGAGACATATTGAACAAAACCTAAATAAACAAGTTTTCACTGTTTTTAATTGAATCAAAATTTAAAAGTTCTGAAAAAGCTAAATCGCCGCGAACATTTTTTAAAATTTCTTTTAAATCCACTACTTTACCAATATAGGGAGATGACAAAGAATATTTCGACATATTTCTGCATGAACGATTCACGTTTATGTCCATCTTTCATCTTCAAACTATAATTTTCTGAAGAATGTTAATGAAAAATCGTTCGACGCTTCGCCTGAAAAATCATTAACCGCTTAATACTTCGCATCGTAACTTTCAAGTCTCTCTCTCTTACGATGTAGTAGATTGGTGCACCCCTGCGCATATGTGTCCTTACATCGAAAGTTTTTGGGTACCCTTTTTGAATCAGTTTTGGATACCCTTTTTTCAAGCAAAATACATGATAATAGCCAATTATCGCTAGGGAATACCGCTGAGACCATTACGATTTTCAAATTTACGAATGGTGTAGTGAGAAGACAAAACAAGCCTGCTTCATATTAAAAGGTTAAATTCATAACAAGACTTACAACCACTAACAACAATATTGGATGCAACAGCTTTGATCCACGAGTAACGGGAATGCTTGAAACAGCCTAAGGAATAAATATATTATCACATTTTCAGATAGTATCCATAAAATTTAAACAAAATTTACGAATAAATTTTTTTATCAACTTACATGATGGACTACTCAAACATTGCATTTGGTTAAACAAGCACGACTTTTTCAAAATTCTTTAAGAAACAAAAATCTTCGAGATTAAGTACAATGGAAAAATTTGATAATGACATCAGTATGGATTAAATTCATGGAACAACACAAATCAGGTACAGAAATATTATGAAATTTTTATGAGAAATTACACAATACTCAAAATGATTGGCAGAAATTAAATGAGTCGTATAGATGGTGAAAACGACTGTGAGACAAGGTCAGTGCTCTTCTTTCAGTAACGAGGTCCAAATATGGCGCTACCAACACGTACCGATGTGCTGCCCAACATTATTGCTGCTTCAAAATCGTCAGACATTCCCATTGAAAGTTCAAAGCTTCCTTCACTTTCATTTGTGAGTTCACAAAACCTAGAATGGTCTGTCTATATGACATATCAAAATAACTACACCAAAATTGTCTTTTAACTTCGCTTTTACTCAAAGCTAAAAGATTTGAAATAATAACTAAACTGATACCAACTTACGTTTTTCGTACTTTGAAAAGCTCCATGAAATCTTTGTTGGGAATTTCCGATACACTATGCGCAAACGAACCAATTGTCATAAAACCACCAAATTTCAGTGATGGACAGTTTACCCGAATAAACTCAGCCAATTCCACTGCCTAAAAGCCAAGTATTTCTCACTTTTGAAATGGCAAATTTTATGTTTTTCAAGTGAGAGAGAGCCAATCATGAAAAGCTTTGACTAATTTGTTCTCAAATGTACTTATGGGGTTTTCGAATTCATCAACGGAAATCTTACTTGCATTTCGCATAACTTAAAAATCCTGTATTACTGCATTCCAAATTCTGAAACTGATAATTTTTAATCACGACAAACCAGTAAAGTGGGACGGTAAAACAAAGCACCATTTCAGACGTTGTCCCTCCTTTCTGCTTTTCTTTACTCGTATTAACTTGTACTAGAACCTTCAGTGTCCGATTATGCTTTGCAATCTCTTTATCCAATATGGAGGAGTGTTTCTTGCTGCAAATTGTCTCCACACAACTCAAGTTATCAATTTCCGCAAGTCTTGCAATCTGCCAAATTACAGTATATCAGGAAAAGTGATTATCAACAAGTGAACTATGAAATTTCTTCAAAAGTCTACTTAAAAACAATTTATGAAAGTAATTCAAATTTAATCCGCACCACATCTCAGTTTCAGTGCACCCTCATCACACCAGTGATTTTGAACTGACTCTTCAAGACAGTTTCTTTTATATCATTTTCAATGAAATTTCAAAACAACACCTTGTTTGATTGAATTGTACCGATAAAATGCCACTGTATATTTGGACACTTTGATTTCAACACTTCCGCTTTATCCACAAGTTCCTGAATATAATTCTCGGCAAATTTCATTTGTCCTGCATCGTAGCAACACCTTGAAACATCTGCTATAGTTTAGAAGTTGAAAGTCTCGAAAATTATGCAAAGATTATTGACATTTCATAGTACTTTAGCGGCACACCATTCATCACATCTTTAATCTCTGTTCTGTCCTATCTAAGAATGAAGTGCTAATCCTAATCAATAAGAAATTAAAAATCTAAGTTGTTTTCCACATGCCAGTTCAACTACTAGATCACTGGGCTGGATAGTACAGCAACTTTCGTCCTCAAGCATTAAATCTCAAGCCATAAGATACGATGATATCATATCGGGATGAATCATCATGATGATTTTGTGATTAGGTAGAGTGAAGAAAATCAAACTTCGATTCAGACGAAGAAAATAGTACCTACTGGATGAGCGAGGAGGATTTAGTCTTCGAAACAGCAATCAACGATGGTTTTTGTCCACGCCAGTACGGACTTTGTTCTGCTTTTTTTGATGCACTTTCGATACGTCGTAGAACAAGCTGAAGGTTATCAGTCAGCATGACACTGCTCAATTCATCATAAAGTCCAACCGAATTACGGGGAAAATCCTCCAGCTGCCTCACAGCCATTGTTGAGAAACGGAAAAGATTTGTGATGATTGGTAAAAGCAAATCGTCCTCAAATCTTATTTAAATCACACCTCCACTTTCTAACATTACAGCAAAACAATCACTCAGTCCTTTCCTCAAATCTGAAATTCTTCCACTTCGCCCGAGCCGTCGTTTCTTTTTTTTTTTCAAAAGATATTTCGCTGTTTCTGAAGGTTATTCGTTAAATGATATTTGAGTGGTAGAAAAACGGGGTTCGTGAAGAGGAGAGTAAAGTCAAAGTTCATGAGGTGAAAGGATAAGGCCAAAGTTCGCGAAGGAATATAAAACAGCATCTAAGAGTGGAACATGATCTTTGGGACAGAGAGACTAAGCATATCAAGAGGATGCTGGATGTTACTTTCATTCTTCGTGAGCTCTAATTTTGTTGAATTTACGGTGAATCTTCATGGTATTAGTCATTTCGTTGTTGTTGTTGTTGTCAGCCAATGCAATTTTCCGGAATTAATTTAAGTTAAAGAAGTAGCGAATTAAGTAGAACAACTTTGATAAGAAATTTATAGCATTTTAAGGGAAAAGTCGTTGTATACTGAAATGTGCATCTTCGTCCGTCTCTCTCTGTTTCTTTCCAAAACAACTTAGTTGCTTAAACTTTTGTTTTAGTGATGTGCTTTTTGGAGGTGATCACTTTGTTGTAAATGGGTTCGCACGAAAAACACGGCTCCCGCAGCAATCGGGATAAAGTTGATTCAAAAAGACATCGTTCTCCAAAACGCGAAAAAATTCGCCACGATCGAAGTTCACCACGGGATAAACGGACGAAGGATCGCAGCAGATCCCCAAGAAAAAGGGATCGAAGTCGTTCTCGGGATCGATCTGATCGAGATAGTAAAAAGGATAAAAAGAAGGATAAAGATTTGGACTTGGGTGAAATCGTTGCCATGGCGGATAAGGTTTTTGATTCAGTAGTTTTGTAACAATAATCAGAAGGTTTGAAGCATCTTTCTGTATGATTTGCCTTTTAAGAGTTCATTTTGTAGAAGTTTTTCGTATTGTAGAATGAAGCCGAAAGAAAATTAGAAGTTGAAATGCAGAAGCGTCGTGAAAGAATCGAAAAGTGGCGCTTGGAACGGAAGAAAGGAGAGGTAACAACAAGCGATGAAGGTACTTCGAAAATAGAGGAACGACAGCAACAGGAGAAGAAATGGACATTGGATAATGAAGAAGAAGACGAAGAAAGTATACCGCAGGATGTTGAAAAGTAATGCTTTCTGTATCGGTGTGGAGCACTGATTATTTTTACTTTTTTAACCTGCTGTTAATTAATTGTTTTGATTTGCTACTGCAAAATGAAGTTTTTGTTAATGTCTTTATTATTTGATAACAATAAGTTTTTATTCCAAAAGATTTTAACATCACTTGATATGCGTACACTCTTTAAAAGGAAACATAATTATTTTTCGTGATTTTCTATAATGAAGTAAATCCGAGTATAATTTTGTAGGAAAGAGTTAGAGGATGATGATGAAATTGATCCATTGGATGCATTCATGTCTGAAGTCAATAAGGAAATGCGTGCTTCTAAATACGGGCTAGAGCAGGTAAAACAAGTATCTTACAGCTGTTTGGATCAGATATATAAGCCAAAAATTATTTCAGTGTACTTTTATTCTAGAGTAATGAGGGAAAAGTCCGCATAGTTGTCATCAAATCAGATGCAAATTTAGAGCCAAAGAAGGGTGAAATTATAGAAGCAGAAGACGAAATCGAGGTGAAGCATTTTTTCTGCTATCGTGTTTTATAAACACCTTTTTTCTTTTTGATATTAAAGCTTTATTTATTGTCGCAGAATTTAGTTATTTTGATGGAATAACTCATCAGTATTACTTTTAAAGAATGATAGTTCATTTATCGGATAATATTTCATCCTTTATCTGCTTTAATCGATCGCTATTGTCTTAGCCCGTTGTTGACGACTTCGATATTGAAAAAGCAGCTTCATCATTGATTGCGAAGGGAAGACAGCTGCCGCAGACTGACCATTCTAAGGCAATCACATTTCACGATTTTTGTTATATCTGTGGTTTAAAAAGATGTTAAAATTAGTCATTTTTAAATAATCAATCATGTCAATTTCTTCGATTTTCAGAAATGTCGTTTTACATGCTTGACTTTGTTTTTATAACCAGTAGCACAACATTTAGCAATATTTTTTATGATTTTTCTTTTCAAAGGTGTACTACCGCCCTTTCCGTAAGAATTTCTATGTGGAAACTGCTGAACTCGCGAAAATAACGAAGAAAGAAGTAGACGAATATCGAGAAGAACTGGATATACGTGTAAGGGGTAAAAATTGTCCAAAACCTGTTCGGTCATGGGCACAATGTGGTGTCGAGTGGAAAATTTTGAGTACTTTAAAAAAGTTAGCGCTTTAATAATTTGCATTGTTTTCGCTTGAGGCAAATAATTTTTTTTATAGATAAAATTAGAAAAGCTGATAATTTATGGAGATTTATTAATTTTTGATTTAGACTAGAATATAAGAAACCGACACCAATCCAATCTCAAGCAATTCCGGCAATAATTAGTGGTCGTGATGTCATTGGTATTGCTAAAACTGGTAGTGGTAAAACACTTGCCTTCTTGCTACCCATGTTTAGGCACATATTAGACCAACCAGAACTGGAAGAAATGGATGGCCCTATTGGTATGTTTCACAGAAACATTCCAAATTCTACTAGTATTTTTTGTATTTTACGGTCATCAGTGTTGCAATTCTAAAATTCATCGGAAATTGAACGATTGTGAATGAATTTTCAGCCGTAATAATGTCCCCGACGAGGGAACTTGCAATGCAGACATGGAAGGAAGCGAATAAGTTCGCGAAACAATTAGATATCCGTGTTGCATGTGTTTATGGCGGTGTCGGCATATCTGATCAAATAGGAGATTTAAAACGAGGAGCCGAAGTTGTTGTGTGTACTGTTGGACGTCTTACGGATATGCTTGCTGCAAATAAAGGTTTGAATTATTTTCTTCAAATGTTCGGCCATTGTTTGCAGATTTAATTGGTTCTTATCCTGTTATAATTCTGTAAATATATCCTTTTCTATGAATAAAGTTACTCTGTTTACTTTAGTTGTTAATTAAATTTTTAAGGCAAAGTAACAAATTTACGACGGGTAACATATCTCGTACTTGATGAAGCGGACAGAATGTTCGATATGGGATTCGAACCGCAAGTGATGAAAATTGTAAATAATATACGGCCCGATAGACAGACGGTTCTGTTTTCTGCAACTTTTCCACGACAAATGGAAGCACTTGCAAGAAAGATTTTGGATAAGCCAATTGAAATAATGGTGCTTATTTTTTAGATATATTTTAGATTTGTGAGTTGTTTAACTGAACTCATTTTGCTTCAGGTCTTAATACAGCTTGAAACCAGTTATATTCAGGTAGGAGGCAAAAGCGTTGTTTGTGACGATGTGAATCAAAATGTTGTAATTTTGGAAGAACATCAAAAAATGTTGAAACTTTTGGAATTGCTCGGCGTTTACTGGGAAAATGGAAATGTCTTGGTATTTGTTGACAAGCAAGAGAAAGCGGATGATTTGGTCTCACAACTAATGCGTAGCGGTTATAACTGTGCTCCATTGCATGGTGGCATTGATCAGTTCGATCGTGACTCAACAATAATTGACTATAAAGCCGGCAAAATTAAACTGCTGGTAATTTAATTTATTTTTTCTTCTCAATAACTGTTTTTTCTATTTGAAAATTGGATTCTTAAATATTCAAACCGCTTCAAAATTAAAAGTCCGATTTAATTCGCATTACGGCACTTATTGTTTTACAGGTAGCAACATCAGTGGCTGCACGAGGACTAGATATCAAGAAATTGATTCTTGTGGTCAATTATGATTGTCCAAATCATTATGAAGACTATGTGCATCGTGTTGGTAGAACAGGAAGAGCAGGCAATAAAGGATATGCTTACACTTTCATTTTACCAACTGGTAATTAATTCATTAGCTTTAAATTTCTGACCAAATTTTTTAATACGTTGAGGTTTTCATTTTATCAGTTTACAGGGCAGGAACGCATGGCAGGTGAAGTATGTCGAGCTTTCGAAACAGCTGGGAAGGAACCACCAGAGCAACTGAAAAAAATGTGGGAAGACTATAAAGCACATATGGCAGCAGAAGGGAAAATTGTCCATATTGGTGGTTGTGGATTTTCCGGAAGCGGTTACAAATATGATCAGGTCACTCTTCGATGGATTTTCGGGAACAGTTATATAAGCATAATAACGTGCACTCCACATCTATACCCTACCTATGCACACATAGTGTTTTTTTTTTCAGGCTGAAGACGAGAAAGAGGCAACGCGGCGAAAAGTTACGCGTTTAATGCATGGAATGGAAAATGCGGTGGATGATGATGATGATGATGAAATTGAGCAGCAGCTTAGTAGTATGATGAAGGGCAGAAGACGCATTGTCGAAGGTCATACTTTTGGTGGCACCGCCTCAGGCTCGGGGGTTGCAGGTGACAAATTGGAAAAGGTATCTGATTTTTTCCGATGTTTATTAGCAAATTCAGTTTTTCCACTATATAGGGGTTTTGCTCTGTGTCACGAAATCATTTTTTTTTTTCTAGTGAATAAATTCATGTAAAATTTGTTTATAGGCGCGAGCAATGGCAGCAAAAATTGCTGAGGCAAAGCAGCTTGGGGTCACAGCACCAGTCGAAAAAGACGCAGCTTCATTGACAGCCGAGGCCGTTATGCGTGGTAGTGATGCGGTACCGATAGCATTATCGGTGAATTACATTATCTTGAATGCATTTGTTGGAAGAGGCATCTTACATTTTCTGTTAGATACACTATTTATGAATTTAAAATTTAAATTTAAATTTAAGCTCACATTACTAATCACAGAAAATTTTGATTTACATGGTGCAAATTTCCTAATACCATTTTTCCTCTCAGGCAAAATCGATAGCGAAGCAAAAAGCAG